GGCTTGAACTGTGGAGGAGGATCGTCACCCTCGAAAGTCTAGGCAAGAATGGGATACTAACCACTATACTGTGGAGGACCGTTTATTGACAGTATTTTCAGAATTTGACTTCAATTACAATTTATTTACGTTAATTATTTAGATACTAGACCACATATGGTGGTTTATACTTTATTCATGCTACCAATACTTCTTCGTGTTATATCCCGGATTATCTCTTACGTCTAAAGAAGTTAATTTGTACATTTTTAGATTATAATCGTCCGGCGCAATGTTTGGGTTGTATTTAATTTTTTTGTTGGTTATTGTCCTATTGAAATAATAGATTAATGGGCTATTGCTTTTGTTTTGAATAAAGCTCCCTTTATTCAGATAGGTAAACTACTCGGGTGGTGTATAGCCTGTATGTCTGGTAAGTTCAAAATAAAGCGGATTTGGGTACAAGTAGTGAGCCACTAATGAGTTTGTCAAGTTTCTATCTAGATTGTACCAGTGGTTTCTAATTAATTTAAGTACGAATAGGTCATTTGTGATTACTTGTGCTTCTCCGTATAGATTATGATTGTTGATGAGTTTGGTAAAATTGCATTTGGGTGTTCTATATTTACCCAGACATGCTCTCAGGCACTATCGTTAAGAAACTTTGATCTTTTCTATGGTGGAAGCGCAGATGTTGAACCATATTTGGCAACCGTTTGTGATCAATGTGATCAATCTTATCAATATTTTATAGCATAATATTTTAACTGTTTTACGCGTAAGTTTTTAGAATAGAATAATCTTTTGTTTGCCTGGAACGCGTTCTTGGCTTTGCTTAACTGAGTGATATGTTCGTTATAATTTTGTTTGAAGTTCAGGTGTCTCGCGCCACAGGTCACTATCCGGCTCGATGGACCAAAAAATGTCGCGTCGCTTCGCGAGTGAATTCTGTGGGGTTCGACGGGTTGTAAGACCGTCTTGCGATCACGTAATGTTGCCCGCCAAATTAATATGGAGCAACTGCTTCAGTTTGCACGAACAAAAGGAATGTCACGGCTGGCGTCGAACGATAGGCTCTTGTACAACGCGAGAGGAATTAGACTCTTGATGATCTCGATAATGATGATCTCTAAGATTCTCTATTCGGCGTTTCGTAGAGAACTGATTTCGTTGTCGATTCGATTGGAACTATTTGACGACTATTCGACAATTCGAAGAGGACTCGCGTTTCCTAAGATCGGTCTTAGGAGAAATCGGGAGCTCGCCAGATATTATTAGCTGATTTGACCAAGGACCGCTCCCTTGGTCCGCAAATCGGTCACCTTGAAGGAAGGGAAGGTTCGGACCACGTGGAGCCCTCAGGCCTATTACAAGCCAAGTCTTAAGAGCCATCGCCTAATTTCGTTAAATTAGGGGTTTCAGGGATTCTCGTGTCTTTCTTGTTTCGCGACGGAACACCAGGTGAATACCTAGGTAACGGACCATAAATTTAGGAGGTCACTAGTAAAAATATTAAATAGGTGGGGAGAGTTAACTGCTCCTTGTTGCAGTCCGTTTTAAGTTTTGAAGGATTCAGGAGATTTGTTCTCGTTGTCTGTGGCGTGACAGTCATGTGCCATAGCATTTTTGTTGAGTGAATCGAGAAGTTCTTTTTAATTAATTTGAAAAATAACTCATCAAGCCATACCTGGCCGAACACATGTCTCATGTAAATTTATTTATGGCGTGGAATGTGAAGTGTCTGAATCCGAAGCCAAAACGGCAGTCGGAGATGATATTGAGTAGTTCACGTTGTTTCCAGAGAGCTTTATTGATGATTGTTTCAAATACCTTACTAATATTGGGTAAAAGGCTGATGAGGCGGTAGCTGGATCGAGCAGGATAATATTTGCTTGTTTGATAGTGTATACGGTTTCTTTAGGCGAGTGATTAAACATGTTTAAGGGGGGCTGCTTCGTTGATATTGGCTTTTGCGCTCCCACATTGCTGCTGTAGAGGGATGCCTTTTTTTCTTATTGTTGCAGAGTGGAGGTCCATTTCGGTTACACTGCTATTTCTCTTCAGGAGTCGACTATCGAGGGAAGAGGAGTCTTCGTCTCCTTTTCCTTGAAGCGTTGTGCGATACTTCAAATTTGTCGAAGACAGACATCGACCATGTATATTAGGCGATTGGTTGACACTAGTTTTATTGGCTTCTTTTTGCATTGATTTTGACTCCTCTAGTTGATTTCTTAGATCTTTTAGCTTGTTGATTGTTAAAATTAAATCTTCGTGTAATTGACTTGATGGGTTTACTGATTGGAGAGGGTTGTCGCAATCCAGTAGTTTCTTATCAATTAATTTCGGTATGTGGATTGGTCTATTGTGTGCTCTACTTTTTTATAACTGCCTTGTGATTTTCGAAATCTGACTGTCATCTCTGGTTAGGAATTAACTGTATAATAGCTGATTATCTTGATCAATGTCCTTGATTTGATTGTAATTGGACTGAGGGTTGTGTTTCTATTGCATCTATCCTTATATTTGATTGCGGCGTGTGCTTGCAGTCTTCCATACATCTTTTAATTGAAGCATGAGCATTATGACCACCTTTATTTAACATATTTTTACAAATTTCTATGAGTGCACGATTAAATGAGCGTGGAAACACCTTAGATGTATAATATGTATATGTAAGTTATGTAAATTCGTAAAATTTGTTTAAAATTCGAATTTCAGCTTATTTTGATATAAGTTTTGGGCATGGGTTATAGAAGATTCCTCTGATTAATATCAATTATAGCTACTATTCGACTTTATTTGAATTTAAAAAGTTGTTTTAAACACATATATGTCAAAAAATGTTACGAGGAAGTAAATGGTTTCTTTATATGGGAAAATAATTGTACATACGTAAGTTACTTTATATATTATTATTGCAAATTATACAAAGCATATATTCACAATAAACTATGTAATAACAATTATAAAAGGTTCGAGAATCATTGGAAAATCGGTTGAGCTCGGGAATTTCCGTTTGGCCTCGGTAAGATCAATGACTCGTTCAGAGCAATGCATGGAAAGCCCTTGTAGACCTTACCAAATTGGTCTACCATTTGACCAAGTCCCAAGTCTTATCACCGTTCTTGTCCTCTTCAAGCGGCTTACTCATCCACGGTGTTCCGAACCAGGTTTCATAAGGTTAATTACCTTTTCTTTCTTTTTTTTCTCGTGGGGGAAATCTTGAAGAAGATACCCGGACCCTCTACGGGAGGGGGCGTGGTAATATGGGATTTGTACCCATTAAAACCCACACGATGGTCCCACCTGCCCGTTGTCTCCCTGACCCAGGTTACAACGAAGGTGAGAGACTGTCCCTCCGGCCATAGGCGCAGGGATGCACGCAAAGCCTAACGCGTTGTCTCCTCCGGCGTGGTGCGCGGCGCCCGGTGGCACCGCCCTACGGACGAGGTGCCCGCGCTACGCAGGCGCTTGCAGACTTTCTCTGCGGCCTCCTTCTGTAATATAACCCCCTCGCGGACGGAAGCCACCACACGCCACGCGCTCGCGCTTTCCACCATCTTCTGGGCGATGGCGGAAAGTCAGAGACCCCTCACCACAACGCGACAAAGGACACGGCGCTGGCGAGCCCACGCTAGACATTCCTCCAGCGTGTGCTGCACCGTGTCCCGCCCTTCCCCGCAATGATGACACTGCATCGAACGCTCACGCCCTATCCGACCTAGATACTCCCCGAGACATCCGTACCCGGTGAGCACCTGCGTCAAACGGAACGTGTGCCGGCTGCCGCTGCGTGCCCTGGCATCTAACACTGGGAGCACGGCCCGACGGGGCCGGTGCCGCCGGCTGCTCGACTTCCTCAGCCGAGCATGCCAAGGTCATTTACATAACCTGACCGAATGACACGCATATTTTTTCATCCTATCAGCCATTGCATCTACAAAGGCAGTTCCTCTCATGGTTTTCAACAGTCTGAACCTGCTGCCACTTAGCCAGTGATCTCAGTGTGAGATCAATGTCCAACCAATCTATACCTATGAGTGCAGCAGTCACGCAATCGAGCGAGCAAATGGCTGTGCATGTCCAGTTTGTCTCGCTTCATTTAGGTACTTAGCGGTCGAAGGACACGCCAGTTGCTCCTCAGCCATTATAACTTGTACAACGTAACTTAAGCCGCTTAAAGTAACGTATTTATTTATTTTTTCCCGCATAATTCATTTAATTTATTTATTGTCTATTCACCTCCAATTATTTATTTAAATTAATTCTTTATCTTCATTTTTAGTAATTTTCACATTCGCATTTCATTTCTTAGGTTTCTGTTTCTATCCCATGTTCAAGGCAATATTCCATTGTGTCCCTCAAGTATCTCAATATCTTCTTCGATCCAATCACATTCATAATTTTTGGATCATGGTTAAGCTGTGATAAGCATCCTCCCTGCAAATGAGTCTATTCAAATACACGAGATGTCTTAACACTAGGTTTACGGTTGCTATCTATATACCTATTTCTAAGGACACCTGTCAAATTGACAGGTAAAGGAAAACACGTGCTACTTTTTTAACGATTAGTTTAATTTAAAAATAATTATATATCATATTAACAGTCTTAACACCTTCCCGTGCCATTGAGCTCGACGAAACTTGGGCCCAAGTGTTAGGCGTCAACGCGTGGTAAACAAGCCGGACTGATGTTCGAGAACAGTCACAATACGAGCCGAAACGTAAATGCCTGTGATATAGCCAGTTTTGCGCGAAACTGCTGTTGTGGAAGTAAACTTTAACCCTTTTTTCTTTTGTAGATATTATAAATATATTATATTTTGTAATAAATGACAAATTCAAAATTATATTTCACAAATAAACAACACTTCAATAGAAATCATCTTCAAATGAGGTTTTGTCCCGAGGAATGTAATAATACCACGCCTAAGAATAAATAGCATATTGTAAACAAAAAATTCAATTATAATAAATGTTCACCTTGAGTCAATATTTAATAAGAAAATACTTACAAATCTAAAAAACCTTCATGGTATGAAACTTCCTAGAACACTCTGGCAGATGTAATGCTAGTTTACATTTCGCGCATTCCCACTTCGTTTCGCTTCGTATTTTATGTTTGTAACAAACTTCGCAAATCCTTGTTGGGTGCTTCTTTCGAGGCGTCGAATCGATAGTTTTTGGGAAATGAGCCCAATATTGTGCTCGGAGTCGTAGAGGTTCAATTGATATAGATTTCCTACGCGTTTTGTAGTCCGGTAATTGGACATTTTGCAAAATTACCTCTGCTATGTTTACATGGTAGTGAACATAACTCTCGCTTTTTCGACTGCGCATTATTTTATGCATAATATAGGTGTTGAACAAAGCCATATATGACATGTAAAAGAATAGCTTTCGGTATCCTTTGATAACTTTTCTCATGATTAGGAAACAGGATAACATCTGATCTTGGTGGTCAATTGCACCCATACCCTTGTTATATTCCACGATACGTTTAGGCTTCGTTACTTTCTGCAATTGTTTGTCTGATTGCTCAACCCTCTCTACACTTTCGTGCTTTGTTGATATCATCATATACACGTCGCGCCTGTCCTTCCATCTCATCAGAGCTATCAAATTATTGCAACACCTACATACACATTCTCCTTTCTTCAAAATACGCTTTTGAATGTCCTTTGGCACATTTTTCCTATTCTTGCGTACCGTCCCGATAACATTTGTCTTTTTCTTGTGTAATTTTAAAAATAGGTCGGGTGAAGAGTACCAGTTGTTCAGAAACAAAGTATATCCCTTGTTTATTATAGATTTTGACAACTCCGTCACAACGTTCTCCGACGCACTGTCATTTGAATCAATTTTGTCCTGACCGGTATATATTTTAAATCCATGACAGAAACCGGTACTTGCCTCGCACAATTTGTAAATTTTTAATCCAAATCGAGTTCTTTTCGACGGATTGAATTGTTTGTATGCTAAACGTCCTTTATATTTCATCAAGGATTCGTCTATGCTGACATATTCATTGGGTGTGTAAATTTCTTTAAATTTTTCATTCCACAGGTTGATGATAGGTCTTACCTTTCGAAGTCGGTCACTACCATCAGCAGTTTCATTATGCAAAAAATGTAAAAATCTCGAAATCTGCCGGAATCTCTTTAAAGGCATTGTTTTTCTTAATATTGGCGTTTCTACTACTGCTGCTCTTGTAGACCAATACAGTTGGATATTTGATTTTTTTAGTTGACTCATCAAAATATGTAGTGCACAGTAGGCCTTTACTTCATCTAAGGTAACAGGATACCAGTTGTCGTCCACTTTCCGGCTTTTATACTCGTCGAGCATTGTCTGATATGCGAAGCGATTTGTTTCCGTAACAAGTATTTACCACAGTTTGTTATCAAATTTTGTTATCAATTTTTTTTGGATGGAGGTAGAGGTTCAAAGGATGCGAGTTAATTATTTATTTATTTATGGAGGATTTGCGTCTTTATTGAGGATTAGATTGGGTGATGGTTGGGGTGTTGTAAGGGTCTGTGAAATGAAAATGTCTGTAGGGAATGAACAGTCACTCTGTCCATTCACACCAGAAAAAGTAAACTACTCGCTCGGTTCATTCAGCACGACCATTCCTTTAGCCAACACCCATTCCTCAAGCCCTCTTCCACGCATTTTCTTCATCACACTGTGACCACCACCCACACCGAACCATAAGGGTGAGACCGCATTCGCATCCATTATAAACAAGACATGCTTACCATGGACAAAAACTCAAGCACTCTATCCATGTACGTCAGGTACGGCTCAATCTCTTGGCCATAACGACGCTTAGACTCTTGGAGGTCTCAATTGGCAGGCTCGAACTGTTCCCGTTGAGATTTCGTTTAGAACTGTGCTTGATTTTCTTAAGATCGGGGTTAGGAAAAATCGGAAACTCGCCAAATGTTATTGGCTAGTTGGTCCAAGAGCATTCTCTTGGTCCGCATATCGGTCACCTTGAAGGAAGGGAAGGTCCTCCACGATGACGGTGGTGGAGGGAACCCTCTCCGTGAAGCTGAGGTACGCGAGGTCCACCCGCGCGATGGTGACCCAATCGGCTATTTATGAAGTTCCCAACGTGTGCGGACCATGTGGAGTTCTCGGGTCAGCCAAGTCTTAAGCGCCGTCGCCTAATTTCATTAAATTACGGTTTTCATGGATTTCTCGTGTTCAGCGACACGAGAATTCGTAATAAAAGTAAAAGTTTTCAAACACGCAGAAGGCATGGGTAGGAAAATTCCGATGTTGAATTATTCTGACCCTAAAGACCTGGCTGGTGGAAGACCGTAACCTTGTTCGAGGACGAAAAGGTTATTATACATGTTGTTAGGTTTACCAGCAGCAGTGATTACATTTTCATTTTCGTTGATGTTTGAATTTTTAACTAGCGATGAGTATGAAATGTTGGGGTTAACTTTTTTGGCTATTCTTATAATTCTATTTTCTACTTTCTCTTTGTTGTTTTGAACTCGCAGTTTAAGTTTAATATAATAAACATTGGACATACTCTATATGATGCAGTGTGTCCGTATTTTTTGCAATATACACGGTATATTGTTTCTTTTTCTAATTTATCTGTTTTTTAAATCTTGCACAATCCTGGTTCGTGGTGTCTGTTGTATTTGACGCAACGGTACAAACTGTTTCGTGTCGTGTGTTGACATTTCTGACACTGGGTAATTTTTTTGTTTTTTAGCTCCTCCCAATTGATTATTTGGTGGTGAATGTATTTTATTTTGAGAACGTTACTTAAATTACTCTTGGGTGATATTTGTGTTAAAAATATTGCAAGTGAGGTATCCTTCGCAATTGAATTCTTAGTTACGAATTCGGAAATTTTTAAGAAGGGACCGTCACGAATATTTTGTGCCTTTAATTCTTTTAAGATTTCTTCCTTGCTGTAGGTATTGTTCAGACCTATCATTAATATTGTTTGTGACTTCCCAGATTTTGGCGTATAAGTATAAAATATAGTTCCTGCCGCCTTTAACCCTTTCGCTACGGAGCGCTTGTGACAAAATATGTTAACTGTGAACGGAGCGCATTATTGAGTAGTTGCCACTGAGGTACGGAATGCTACGAAGTAATTAGAAGTCGTTTCTTGTTCTCTAAATTTTACAATGATATTTAGTATATTTAGTAATATCATTTTACTTTGTAAAATATAAAAATTTATAATCATAACTTAATTTTTTAAATATTATATTATAATGTTTATATAATATTTTTTAATACAATATAACGAAATTACTAAAGTATCTAAAGCCGAACACAATATTAATAATCAACTTTGGTATGATATAGTTGAAAGCACGGAACCACACATAAGCCAACATCACATTGTGATCAATAGTACCTCGACTCACGTCTTTTTCCGTGTTTACTGCAGACGACACATTTTCGAACATGATTTTTTTTTTGTGTCTTTCGGTAACTCTTTCAGGATTATTACTATGTCGTGTAACTAAATATCTCATATCTGATTTTTGTTTACCCATATTTTTGCAATAATTGTCTTACAAGTGTTAAATGAAATTTGACAAAGGGTAATTTTGTCGCAGTTGCTGATTGGTATAAAAAATATGCATTCCACACAACCATGTCTAGCATGTGGAGAAAGTATTTTGTGTACCATTTTAAACTTTTACGAATACGTTCAACCGATTTTAAAACCATATCAATTTTGTCAACGGCGCCCATATTGGTATTATAATCAACGAAGCAGGTCGGTTTTTGTATTGTCAATCCGGTACGATAATCTATCTTAGTTGTTTCAACGATGTCTGCCGAATGGCAAGTTATTACCATCCAAACGTCTCGTTTGTCATGCCATTTTAACGCTAATAAATTGTTGCACGAACGGAATGATATCTCGCCTCTTTTTAAATAACCGGAAATTATGGGCATACTTTTACGGTTTCTTTTTTACCGTTCCGCAAGCATTTGTTTTATGATTTTGTAATTTTGTAAATAAAGCGTGGTTTGCATACCATTTATCGACAAATACGGTATGGCCTTGTTCAAGATATGGTTATAAGAGTGTCATAACGACACTTCCTGATTTTCCTAAATCGTCCTTGGGCTGTCCATTAGAAATTGTGGTTTTTCCTGTATATACAATAAAATTTAAAATGTAGCCTGTCAACCAGTCGCATAATACAAAAGGCTTTATGCCGAATCTGTTTCGTTTAACAGGAATGAATTGCTTAATTGATAACCGACCTTTAAATAACATTAAGCTTTCATCTATACAAAGATTGTGAAATGAATAAAAAAATCTGCTAAAAGATCTTTGAAGTTGATCAATAATTGGATGTATTTTATGTAGAGGATCACGAGTGTTGGCTATATTTGAATCGTAAAAACATAGAAAGTTAATAATATCTATGTGTCGGCCACGCGGCATTATTTTGCAAAAACTTTCGGTAGCTATCAGACAATCAGTGGACCAGTAGTCAGCGTATCTAAGTTTCTTGACACGTGCCATTAACAACGCAGTTGCAAAAAAAACGATACGTTTCACTCGTGGTGACGTCGAGACAAGATTTTTCATATATCTTTTCTTGCCCTGAGATTGGACGTAGTAATACTCTTGCAGTATTCATTTGTACATTTCACAATGTGTCCCACTAAACCTTCGGTAAATAATATTTTCGAAATAATCTAAGATTTTTCTGTTAGAATTAATAAAAATTTTACATCCGGAATTTTCTTCATTAAAATTATGTGCTTCTGGTTCCAAGTTTTCCGTAGTCGAAATATATTCAGAATTTTGTGATCTTGAGCACGTTACTGGTTGTCTTGCATATGGCAAACGCTTTCAGTTTCGGATTCTGAACTACTAATTCGGCGAGTACATCTTTTCTTTCTCCCATCTTTCCGGTCTTCCCGATGTTTTTCTAAGTGCAATACAGATGACATGGTATCGTCCTCGCTATCACTCGCTAAAATTTTTCTTTGCATTTTCCGTTTTCTTGCAGGATAAACATCAATTTCACTGATA